GTTCTGTCCTCAGCAACAGGTTATGGTCCGACAGTAATATGCGATTTAACCCCGAGATTTCGTTCCGCACGTCCGTCCGCCTAATTAAGATTCTTAAACTCAACTTCGGAGCGGGTTTCTCCCGAATTCGAGATCCGCGTGACCGTTAGCGAATAATAAATATTCGTTGTTTCGCAGAAAGCGGTGGAAAATAAGAGAAAAACACGTAGATCGTATTGTATCGCACCGAATTTTATTAATTGAAAACTCTGACGTTTGAAAACGTGCAATTTACCTTCTTATTTGGAAAGTTTTTTCTAAAACTCTCGCGTCATTCGTTTGTACACTCACACTTTTTTTCAAAAATTATAAAAGAAAAAAAATATACAACATTGTGAATCACTCCAGCAAATCCCTCACAAATATTTACACACTTCTTGTTTATTTGTCCATCCATCGTTTATCCATATTTATTTGCTCACGTTTTTTGTCGATTTTTGTTTTTTTGTCCGTCTTCCAAAATCGAGTTAGTAAAACAAAGAATATCGAACGACCATCAGAATGTATGCATCAAAAACATATGTAGAATGAGACAAACAAACGACGTGAAAATTGTGTAAAACTTCGCGCAAATGAGCGCACCGCGACTACACCTAACCTGACGACCGCGAATTCAATTTCTCTTTTTTTTTGTCCCCGTCAAATACTTAAATCGCGCGTCCTAAAAAAAAAAAAAACTCGGATGCCTCATCGCTATCTTTCCATTCGCGAGCGCGGAAGAGCTGATTATCATACTTCGCGAGCGGGCAGCCGCGGTCGTATTAAAAGTTGCCCGAATAGTTGGGCGAATCGTTTCCTCGAGTACACAATTTAAACTTGGGCGGAGAAATGCGCATCCTTACCGACCACAATCCCGCATTCTCGCCGTCGTTGAGAGAAGGGTTGATGAAAGAGGGCTGCTTTCGTCCCGGTCTTCGCCGTGAAGTGTGCAAGAATGCCAATCTCGACGATAGAGAACACGAGAAGTCTTCGAGAAAATGGAATGAAAACGAGAAGGACGAGAAATAGAGGAAAGGAGAAAGAGAAGCAAATAAAAAATTGTCAACAATACGCAAAAATTCTCTTTTTTTTTTTTTTTTTATGAGAAGCTACGATTTTGAGAGTCTGTTTTTACGAAGCTAACGGCTTTACTTGAAACTAAGTTTTATCCTTTCTCGTTGCTCGTTTTTATTACGGAAACATATCACGATATCCGCGCGTCCGGCGATGCTCGACGCTGCGCGCAAAAATAAAAATGTGGGAGGCAAAATCCTGTGTAGTCCACTTTCCATGATTTACCTCGGTGTGTTTCGCCCTTTTCCGCGCGCGCGCGCGCGCACATGCACACAAAAATATGTCTAACCCCTGGTCTAGCCGAATATATACGCGCCCTCCCTCTCGCGGAGTATCCGAGATAATTTGAATTCGCCGAGTGAAATATAATTTAATAAAACTTTACACCGCGGAATTCGCATTAGCCACGCATTACCCATAGAGCTCTTCTTCGCACAGGCTTCCTGTTTCTCTCCGCTTGTTTACTTCGCCCGGGAGCTATTTTCACGAACGGGAAAAATTTTTTTCGCGAGATTTACGATAGTCACAATTTCGTGTATCTCCTCGCGACGAAATATTTCGAAAAACAACATTTCTATAATATATAATTCTCTTTTTTGGTTTCGATTGCGTTCTTGTGTGCGTATAAAATGTCAAATGTAGATTCGTGCACGATTTTATTATAAAACATCGTTTTATCATTTAATCACAGCGTCCGGAATAAGTCGCTGTTACATAACGATTCTACTTTATCCGTAAAAAACGTGTGCAATCTCCACTGTAAATCTTCCGTGTTGAAGAAACATGTCGTAGAGTTAAAATAAAAGTTCTTTCTCTCACAAGCTAATGTGATGATATTGCGTGACGATATCTGTATATTTTTAAAATGCGTATATTTTCATGCGTGTGGAGAGATAACCCGAGAATCGTGGCTGTCGATCACAATAACCCAAGAACTCAATGTGCCGGTTATAAACCCAACATTTCTCGTTATTTTCACGATGACCCGTTACACATACATACCGCCCATTATTATTGCCGGACGCTAAACAGTCCTTTATGACGCTTTATGGAGGCTAGCAGCGGTGAGATCAGATGTCCGGAAAGCGCGATCATCTACTACAGCTTCATGCATATTCCAGGACTGCACTCGTCCGTCAGTTTGGAGAGTCCACTTTTGGCACTGTTATATTCCGACTGTGTGACGTAACTCGCATCACGTGATTGCACTACGTGTATATGCAGTCTCTCGAATATGGTTTAAGAGAAACGCCGTATTTCCCCGAGATGTAACGTCAACGTTTTCACGTGTATGAAATTTTGATGACGTAATACGGTAATTGCAGCGAGAGCGAATATTATCGTCGTTTTAGAATTATTTCTCTGGCATCTCGACTTTTTTCTCTAGACATGTTTCAAAATTGTTGACGATGTGCAAATCGAAAGAGCGAGAGAGAAAGAGACGCAAGTATTTTTATTATCTTCGCGATCGAACGTTATCTTTATTGTTCGCGTCGTCAAACGCGTCAACAAAGGTGTGTATCACCTGTTAAAATATATATATGTACTATATATATCTTCTCGAAAACTGTTCAAAAAAATAAACCGCCCGAACGAGAACATAAATCCGGCGGCGATAAAAATCCCTACTTGCCTCTCGAAGTCATTTTCGCGACTCTTCAACAGTTTCGGCGCCGATCGTAAATTTGTTGGCCGGATGACATTCTTTAGAGCCACGTCGGGGACCGGTTTTTTCGATGCTCCGGAAAATATCGCGTTCGGCGAATTTACGGAAAAAACGACGCCGTGAAAAAAACGTCGTCGGAACGACGACCAAAAATTGCCTTCTCTCTCTCCCTTTGTGGGTATAAGGCGACAATTTTGTCGCGGAATGCGCACTCCGTCATTCTCTGTGAGCGACAGTTTGAATTAAGAGATATTACGCGCGGTGGTGCGCGTTGAATAGAATATTACTTCGACCGTCGTGCAGACTGTGTGTGTGCGCGCGAACTCGTATCTTTTACACAAAATTACAAACGATAGTTCGTCTATCTTCTCCAAGAACGAGAAAGAAAAAACAAAGAACGAATTCACACATGTCAACTGTTATACAGTTGATTCGTTCTTAACGTCTGATATTACACAGAGATGATATTATAAGAACAAAAAATTCGTCATTTTAAATGCAGAGCGGTATAATAAATTCTCTTCTTTATATTACGTATTGAGAGAGAGAGAGAGAGAGAGAAAGAGATCGCGTCATTACAGTCGTTTAAAATTCAAGCTATGCAGCGAAAACGTATAATAGAGTAATATATCATATAAGCGCGCGGCGCAACGGTTTCACAAAAATATGAGAGATGCTCGCTACGCTACATCGTCCCGCATAATGTAACACAATGCTATTACCGTATCCTGTCATACAAGTCGAACTGCACTATCGAATTTGTAATACGATAGGAAGTAATTACTCGCGATCGATCGTTTTTCCAACAAAGTTCACAAAGCGATTTAATTAAATTATTTGCAAACGTGGTTGGTTTTTCACATCCGCGTTTGCAAAAACATCTGATGACTCGAAATTATCGAGCTATCATTTGCAACGAGTCATCATTTTCTGATCGAACTGCACTCGCCTCAGACGCTTTAATCGAAACGTAAATGCTTCGCGTTTACGCATATACAAAACAAAAAAAAAAAAAACACAAAAGTATACGTGTAAAAAAAAGAAACTTTTACGAAGTTAATATACAGTTGTTAGGACTTTCCAAAGTTGCGCACAGTTTTATCCCTCACGTCTCGGGTATATATTTAACGTTTATTTGCATCGAAAAATCACGTAAGCCGATAAAAGCACAGAAATATCGTTAATCTGGTAATATTTCCGCGTTTTTGCCAGTGACTTGACAACAATTGGAGCAGTTTAAAAATAAAAGTTTAAAAATAGATTTTCCTCGTATTTGATACAGATTTACGTTTTCGACTCACTCGTGAAGTATCACTCGTTCTATCAGACGAAAACATAGCTGATTTCTTGTTTAATTAATTTAACTACAAATGTATCATTAATTGCGACTCAATACTAAAAACTTTTCGAACAAGAATTAAAATAATCCAAAACTATTGCACTTGTTTGTCACAAGCGTAAAACCAGAAAAATCTACACGAGTTGTCGCAAACTGCAGTTGCATATACGAGCAGCAGAAATTGGACGAACTTTTGTTAGAGTAAAACACGTGCACCTCGGAAAGCCTTTGAAAGAAAATCGCCGCCGGTCTCTCGCGTCTTATCCCCGTCACGTTCAGTGCATAGATTTCACGCTCCTACGCGACGCCGCGTCGAAAAATCGCGTTAGCCGTTTCCCTCGGTCGAGGAAGCTCGCGAAATCCGCTTGACCCGGATTCCAAACTCTCGTCCATGAAGCAAACTTTGTCTCGGGCTCGTTGAGATAAGTGACGGCTAAAAGATCCCGCGCGCGTATGTGCCACCGTGTCGCGCCGCGAAAAGCGCATTGCGTACACGTATGGCTGTCACGTGTCAACAACGGAAAATAGATTGCACGAATTGTACGAAAACAAAAATTGCGCTTGAGAATTCTTAATCTCGTCTTGTGTATATACACTTCGTGCTTTTAAGCTTCGGAAGTTTGAACTCTACGATATAAGATATTATTGTATTACAGATGTTGTTATTTGCTCGTTGTATTTAGAATAATTTATGTTCTGTGTTCTCTAAAATAAAGGAAGATCACGCTGTTTGCGATACAAAATAGCTGAGCTTTAAAGCTTGTTAAAAGCTTATTTCCGTTAATATCAAGAAAACGCGCATTTGCTCAAAGCAAATGTTAAAAAGAAAAATGATGATCGACCTTATCGTCGATAAGGGATGCAGGTGGTGTGGCGGGACTGATGTGTCTTACGGAATTTTAGTGCAACAGATGTACGGATCGAACGGAGCAAGCGTCGGACTACCAATGGGAATGACCACACTGAAGGGAACTGGTACACTGGGGACCCTGGGGAACTACGGCTCGGGGATCGCGCCCGGGGTAACGGGGGCCACGACCCTGCCACGGCCGGGAAACTGGCTGCGCCCTGCGGGCCTCAGGCTCGGGCACAGCGCGGCCCGGGTCCGCCTCTACTGCCAGGCAAAGTGAGGAGTCATGGTTCCGACAGGTGAGCTATACACCGCGATACGGGGATATTTTTTTATCTCGCGTTCGCTTTTCAATTACAAAAAAAAAACATACGCGCTCTTTTACGCTTTTACTTTGTCCGCTTAATATCCGGAACTGCGATGTTCTCATTAATGTTTGACGAAATTCCGAAGAGAAAGAAAAACCCCACGAATAGAGCTGTCGAAAGGAACGGAAGTTAAAAATCTCGTAAAAAAAATTATATCGTAGGATATCCCGGGAAATAATGCCGTTACTGCGGTTTTATGTTGTTTTACTATAATATCTCTGTGTTATGTACATGTACCATCGCGTTATTAGATTTCTGATGAGATTGTTATCCCTTCGTCGGAAAAACGGTAAGATCTAATAAGATCGTTGGTTAAAAAGTCGAGAAAATCGATTAGATAGCCGCGACGAATCAGAATATATGCAAGTTTAACGAGCTTTTTTCTCAGAAAAAAACGTACTCTGTTAAAGCTCCATTTAGTGTAATATAAAATTTATATTCGTCAGAACGAAAATCTATAAAAACCAAACTAAAAAAACTTTCACAAAAATGTTCTTTCGCTTTGCAGTGATTGGAAATGTAGTTTGAAAAGCTGCTATTGCGATTCGTTTTGAGTATCTTTAAAACTGAAGACGGAAAAGAGGAAAAAGTTTAAATACCGGTTTTTTTTTATTATTATTATTAAAGAACATCAAGCAACATACTTCAATTTTTGCAATTTACCTAGTTTTTACAAAAGAGAGATAATGATACGGAATTTTAAACTTTGACAAAACCCTGAAATACTCTTCCGTCTTTATAAACGAAGGCAATGCGCCTTCAGTTATTGTCTGTGATTTAACGTCCTCTGATAATGTCATGAAACACATACACTCACACATATATCTATTTTTTTTCTTTCAGTGACATTTCCTCCAGCCAGAAGGACGAGTGGTTTGTGTAGGTAAGTTTTAAAAATTGCAGCGCATCCGGCAATCCCGTCGCGATTCTGTCATTACCTTCGTTCCCCTTTGTAACGTGGCAAGCGTAACTTGCGCACGATGGAACTTTGAAAATTTCAATTACAAAGAATGTGAGGACTATTACCATTGTGTCCCCACGGCAACGTGGTTTCGCCTCGGGCCGCGGTCGTTCTGTCATACTCGGATATCAAAGACACCTCACTTTTCAAAGCGCAATTAAGGGGCAATCAAGCCGCTGAGCGTCAATGAATAAAAGTGTTACTCGCGGATATTTCATTACGGTTATCTCGAACGATATATCGCCACGTCGTTTATTACACCGCTGGTAATACATTTTAAACCGCCATATAAACGTCTCTTTCTCTCTCTCTTTCAAATAATTTCGCATTATTATTACGTCACGATAATAAATTGGTTCCGTTTTGTTAGCGCAAGGTTTACGATATTTTCTACAGATTGATTGGAAGATACCCAGCAGCGTAAAATATTTGTGTGCATTATAATTATCGCTAAAAGCATAAAAGCTACACCTTCACACAAGCGCGGGATAATTAAGTGCGCCAGTTTTAATACGTACGAAATACGTAAATAATCCACGCGAGAGGTGGAACTGCGAGCGCGCGCGCAAGACGATAAAATATATCGCGTGTATTTACATAAGGAAAATATATAACTCGTTTTATGCGCGCGTCGAAGTTTTTAATCAATCCTTGCGCAAATTACACCGCTCAAATATTACATGCGTTTAAATATTATCCGTTTCAATATTTCCTCTTGAAAATGGACAACGTTATCTCTATGTATACGAGCGTATTCATCGAGCACAGTCGCGCGTATTTAACGCTAAATTGACGCTCAAGTTTCTCCGCGCACGCAGTCAATATCAAGCACAACATTATTTCGTGAAAATTTCAACTGATAAATAAAACGAGAGCACACAAAAAAATTAATTTCACAACCGAGTCGAGTTTGAGCTTTGATTTTCTCTAATTTCGAGTTAACGAACGACAATCAAAACTTGTAACGTTTGAAAATTAACGTAAATATTACGTGGACACAGTGTACAATCAATTTTGCATTTGTTCGCAGAGGCAGGCCTGGACCAGAGCCCGCAGGGTGAATCGGAGCGGTGGTGCCCTCACCGCCCCCTCCCGGGGGATGAAACGACGCCATACGTCGTCGAGTCGTCCCCGTTAATCATTGGTCGCGTGTGTCACCGGCGAACATTGAGCCCACGAGCAACGCAGACGCGATTCCCGATCACCTTCTGCCTTCCCTCCGAGTGTCATCAAAATCGCAGCGAAAGTAAGAACGCAAGAAACAGAAGCAAATTGCGCGAACATGTCCACTTCTTCGAGGGCAATTGCCGTCTTGTTTCATCAAATCTTATGGTTTTTTCTTTTTACTGAAGGAAAAATTTGTTGGGGGAAAAAATATAAATAGCAAAATTTTCAAACAGACGGTCAATTATTCAGAGAATAAATGCGAACGAGAAGAATCGGTTCTCAAGGAGAACATCGATATCGCCGACGGTCAACATTTGCGAATTTTGTTTGCGCCGCTAATCGAGCTATTAAGCGAAGTAAACAGATTTTTATGGCGATCAAACATTGTTCTCGAAACACCATCGGAAAAACATGCAAATTGTTTGCACGAGAGAGAAGGAGTGAGCGGGAAAGCGAACGGCGTCGATATGCTATACATATATATAAATACATATATATATATATATATATAAATGCGCGACACACGATCCGTGAGATTATTGCCGAGGACAAAAATTAATTGCAAGCATGTGTGTGTACGCGTGTGCGAGTGAATGCGAAGAAGAGAATTCACAAATAATACGCACAGCAAAAAAAAAGGATGAGAGAGAGAGAGAAAGAGAGAAACGGGAGCTTCGCTCTCGTGTTGCACGTGTGCGCAGTTTTCGTTACGTAGCCTAGTCACGTAAGTCAAGGTGTTTTCTCGGTGTGTATTCTGTGAAGCAGTTTAGAGAGAAAAGAATGCCGTTTTAGTCGTACGAAGTGTGCATCCACGGTAACGATTTTGGCGAGTATCCCAATAAATTCGGTCTTATTTGTATCGAGGCAATAGGTTGCAGATCTTTCGATCAATTTCTCACGCGAAAATTGAAAAAGAAAAAAAAACTACAACGTATCAGACTTATAAAAAAATGCAATATAAATTGTACATTTTATTGCATTACAACGCAGAGAATACAAAACGTTTAGTGGTTTTTTTGTTTTTTTTTTCTTCTTAAACAAACCGATATTGAAGTGTAGGCGCGATGAAAACAGGAAAAAAAAGCGTCCGAATGTCGCGTGGATTATCGTTACCGTGAGATTCTGTGCACGCGCGCGAGTATCTGACGCGAAAACGTGCTTACAGATAAAAACTGAGGTATATATATATATATATACCTTTAAGTAGGAAAAATCTTATGAGAGACTTCGAAGACGCTGAATATTTGCCTTCCATTTTATTCATTCCGATGAGAAATTTTTATTTATTTTTATTTATTCCGATGAAAAAGTTTTGCAAAGCGAATCTCGCTTAGATACGAAGCGATTCAACGCTCGACGATTTTTTTGAGATGTCATAAATCAAGAAAAAGGGTCCTTTCCTCTTTCAACAACCGGTGACGGTGTCTCGTGTCGCTTTTTTTTTACAAGGATAATCATTTTTTTCCCCGCGTCGGTGAAACGAGCACAAAAGCGGGACGGATACTTCGCGCGCGTGTACTTGTAATATACTTGTATCTACCATTAGTCGTTCAAGCTTTGTGCCGTCTCCATAGATTACGAACGCGGAAAAAAGGAAAGAAAAGCGTATACATATGTAGAAGTTATAACAGCGAAATATCGGAATAAGCAAGGGGAAAAAGAAGCAAGGAGAGAGAGTTTATCATTAATATATATATTATATATATATATATGAGAATTTTAATTTCACGACTGTAGCAACACAAAACTCGTACCGTTAGTGAAACAGTGACGAGAAAGATAACGGAGTTAATGTGTGAGTTTGTCACACTTGAATTTATATAAACAAAATACGATAATAATAATTTGACCGACATATCGACAAGATCCTCGGACTTTTATTGACAAATAAAAAAAAACAAACAAAAAAAAAACAAAACAGAGTTGATTTTGGTTGTGCAAAAACAACTTACACAGCGATATTACAAAGCGATATACAAATTGTTTACAAAGTGTGTCTATAAAGAACTTACGTTCCACAGAATCTAGATGCGAATTTATTGTCACCGAGTTGACGATAAGTACTACTTGGCAATCTTTTATTCGAGTCTGATCACGACCAATGTAATATCAATAATAATGTAATATCGATCTGCGTGTCCAATTGTCGCAAGTGTGAGAAATTAGAGAAAAAGATAGAGAGAAAAAACTCACCGGTGTGTACTATTTCACATTTTGTGACGAACATATCCAGAAAATGTCGCCGATTTTTGCGTACATACATGAGGAAAACATCGAAAATAATATTCATTTTTACTGTACGATCAAGTAGTCTTCGTCTAGCGTTTTTGCGAGAACCGTGCGTGATACGATATTATCGATCGCTGTGCCGTTCAACAATGTCGCCAAACGATTGAGACTTTCACAAATCGAGCCGAACAGAAAGCGGAAGAGTGCGATTGATTGATGTTCCTCGTTACCGAGATCAATTCTTCAATCACGATTACGTAGATATTTTCCACATGTTCACCCCTTTCAGCCCGAATCGAATGTTATCAGACCGAATTGTAATACTGAAGTTTGTTACTAAGTTATTCAACAACGTGCTAACCGGGAATAAATAATAAAACATAATAATAATAACACGTCAATCTGAGAATTTTTAATAAACAGCGTGATGACTGTGGCGATTGAGCTGAAGTGGGTCGACAGAAATCTAGTTCGAGGATAAAGAGTAGAAAAGTGTGCCTGGATTGTGCGGAGTTGATTAACGTTTGATCGAAACTAGAGAGAGAACGAGCGAATGATGATAGAATAATGAGAGAAAAAATAAGAGAAAGAGAGAGAGAGAGAGTGAGAGAGAAAGAGAGCGTGCGTAGAGAATGGAAAAGGATCCTCACACGATTAGAGAAGGATTATCAATTAAAATGAAAAAAAGGATTACTGTTATTAATTAATATTATGGTCTGTAGTCGAAGTACTGACGGTAATATTGATTTTTTTTCCCTATTGTGTGAGTATCCTTGAAATATATGCGAATATATACAGACGGATATTTCGCGATCCTTTGTGGTCCGAGAGCCACGATTGTAGGGTAAGCGAGTAGGTAAGAAATTCCGACTGTCGAATTCGGACACACGGAAGCTAGCTTAAACTGCCATGATCAGGAACAGTGAGGAAGAAGGGAGGGGGAAAAGATGTACGCGAGAGATGTTAGATGAAATTTTAAAATCGGAGGGAAAATATTCCGTAGTCTCTTGAAAAAAAAAAAACAAAAAAAACTCACGATATAAACTGTTAAATATTCGTGTGTAAACGATTTATTAGCGAGATTATCAACTTGTAGCGTAATGTAATTATAGAACTCTTCTTAGGAAAATTTCAAACTTCTCTCTTAATTTTTTCTACACTTCGAACATCATCGACTCTCAATTGTGCGCTGTACACACGCGAGATATCGGCGGTAGATGAGATGTATTTTTTAAAAAGCGAAAAAGCGTCTATTAGCGAAAATTTACATTCACGACTGATATTTCATATATCGGGAACGAATTGATATTTACCGCGAATATTTCTTCGCAAAAACAAATCATAAATATTCGTTTCGAGTCATTGCTCTCGACAGAAAAGCTGCGGGAGAGAGAAAGAGAGAAAGAGATTGATGTGTGATATCGTATCGAAATATCTCGCTTGGCAGATATTTATATCTATATATATGTGCCGAGAAAGAAAGAGAGTGCGAATTGTGTTGCGTACTGTAATATATTTCCGATATCACACGCCGTATATAACATTCGTTGAAAGAAATGCGCGCAGAAGAGCGTTGACTCTATCATCAAAACAATCAAAAACGTTACAATCTCTGTCTAGCAATTATCTTGTTTTTAACCTCGTTTGGAAAATAGATTTCTATGTCGAGTAAAATCAATCGTCCTGAAAATATGAAAACTTTCACAAGATTGTGTTTAAAAAAAATTGATATCACACAATGACGCGGCAAAAGTAACTTCGAGAGTGAAATAATTCTACTTGTGCATATCAAACTGATATATCATTGATTACGTTAAACGTCATATCGCAACTTGCATATCACAGTGCTCGACGCGGAAAGGTCTACGAGTTTGTTAGTCAATCTTGCTCGACGAATTGGCGCGAAGAGTTCGTCGCCGCCGATTTGTTTGAGCGCGCATTTATATATACCTACCGTGTGTACTTTCAAAATCAACGTACGTATACCTAATAGAAGCAATTAAAAGAAGATTGAACTAAAGAAGCGGAACAAATTTAGGGAGAGATTTGTCCACAACAACTCGTCTTCTAATCTAGAAAATACGAGAGAGAAAATCTAGTAGTGAAATTTCGCATTAAAAAAATGTATAGGATAAAATGATTATATGTGACTTGTTATAATTGCATCACGATATTCCGCGAAACGTTCTGCGAGGTGGAATAAAGAAAATCTTTCTTTAAAACGAATATACATATTTCTATTGACGCAGGGTGAGAGAGAAAGACAGAGAGAGAGAGAAAGAGAGAGAGAGACAGCCTGTAATTGTAATGCAGATAGAAAGATATACTAGTTATTTTCAAAAATTTATATAGATGTATATACATATATATATATATAAGTGAAAGATTTATTATATAGGGGACATAATTGAAGAATCTTTCTGCTTTTCTCCGCAATCAATAAATAGTTTGAAAGAGACGTTGTGTGTGAGCAGCACCCTGCGGCAGGAAACCTGTTTGTACTGAATAAAATTTATCGCGCACATACATCAAATGGGACTCCTCCGCGTTCGTTGGATATCCGAAACTCGCGTTAGCGCGCGAAAATTTATTAATGGAAAAGTTTCACACGATGGGAATAGAATGTCACGCAGTGCGCTTGTATTTCTTGAAAGTCTAGAGAACTTAGGTGAGAATCTAATAGACAAATATTGACAAGGAAGAGAGAGAGAGAGAGAGAGAGCTTTATGAAACGAACTGATACAGAGTGTACATGGTGTGATTGTGGTCTAGAAATTAGTAGTAATAATAGTGATAGTGTATCGGAAGATAACGAGAAACAGGATAAAAATAACTTTTCGAAAATATCGGACGACGCGCGCGCATTATCGAACGACGTTTTTTTTGTCAAATTCTTCGGTGTCATTAGTCATTTGCGTCTATGGCTGCGTTTCAACTTATTGTCAATACTGAAAATCTATAGCGCATGTGACGTGAAATATAAATTTTTAGTACTGACAGTAAGTATCGGAACGCAGCCAAATAAGATAAGTCATATTTTTGTGAATACAGACAGTAGTCCATTAGACGTCTAATGGACGTCCATAACTCCATGTGACGTCTAAATGAACAAGTAATTTTTTTGTTTGTATAAAATATGTTATTCCGAGAAAAATCATATGAAAACTGTGTATAAAATAACCAAACAATGTTTTTGTTTTTAATTTATACATATAATGTTATGTATCAAATTTATAAATTTTGCGTTTGTTGTTTTCAAGTCAAATATTTAAATGTAATTTATTATCGATTGGACATTTTTTGACATAAAACTCATTCGATAAATGAGTCGTACGTGATGATACATGTGACGATAAAGGTGGTCTCTGTCGGGTCGCGTAATCTGATAAAGAAGAGATCTGCTTCGTATTTATTCTGCGCGTGCATCGTCCGATTTTTTCGAAAGTATATTAAACGATTCGATTTCACTCTTCGAGAAGATTTTGGATGTTGTTGTATAAGTAGGGACGTTAATGTCTTTGCACGTGGAGTTGTACTTCTCATTGTTAAGATATTATTGTCGCATTATTGGTGCAACTTCGTGTGCAAAAGCACGAAAGTTCCCGCTTGTACAACGCGACATATCCAAATATGGGATAGGAATTTATCGAGCTAGCGCGAAGCACGCGTGATAGAAAAATCTACGCGAGTTAGTGAGGAATGGATAGAGTACGGATTGAAATAAAATAGTCGACGAGGATTTATCATCGACATTGTTTTGCCTTCAATGTTACTTTGCCCGAATTTAAGTGACAGCGAAACTAATCAATAATAATAAATAATATTTTGATCTACAATATTTTGTTGTAATAACAAACGACATAATGCAACGTCGAACTTATCGTCAGCGAAAACCTGTCATTGATAAAATTCTCGCCGATCATTTCGGTGTAATCCAAGATAGGAAGGTGCACGAGAGGGGAGTATTTTCACGAAGGATACGATGCTGTTTTATTCAGGTGAGAGAGAAAAGTGGGCTAGAGCGGACAATAATAAATCACTTTCGACGCGATTTACATTTGGGACGAAAAAGTAGTCGAGCCGTATTTACAGAATTCACTCACAGCATTAGTAACGTCATCATTATGATCGCCATCGAAAAAAAAAAAACACTACAATTATGGAAATACTCCCATCAACAAAGAATCTTCAGCACGTAGCGCTTCTGTATCTTATTTGCGATAGTGCGTGTACGTTTTAAGGAAATGTCAATAATATCGTGAAACGATTTCGAGTCTCTCTTTAGATGAGTAAAGAAAGACTAGATCCTTTCGCAATTACGTACCAATCTTTGTATCGGACGTAACGCGAGCTGTAGATTAGAATTTTTTTACATTTATTTTTTCTACTCGTAGCTTTTGTTACTTTTATATTACTTGAACAATGTTTACCTCGTTTCACCGTAAATGTGATTGAAAAAAAAAAGACACACGTAAATGAGATCAATTATTCCTAAACCTGTTAATTATAAAAATCGTAATTTTTTAACAAACGCGCAGTTGAACACGGCATGATATATTTAACGTGTAATTTAAAACAAAACTACAAATAAAGTAAATCAGCAACGGAAATTCTTCGAGGGAAGAACTGCTTTTTTGGACACATTAGCGTGAATAAACCTCGACTATCCTTTTATAAAATCTAATCGTGCACGTCATCACATTGTCATAATCGAGAACATCCATTTAAAATAAAAAAAAAAAAAAACATTCATGTACCACAGTACTATATCATAGTGTTCATAATTATAAACGTTCTACTTTCGAAGTTGAGCGAATGCGAAATTGATCGAGAGAGAGAAAAACAAGTAAATGATTTATCGATCGACAAAGGTTTTGTTTTCGCGAAGATATTCAAACAAGAGATCGTATTTTTTCCATCTTTTTGCGTCAGATCCAAAGAAACTTGAAAATCTAAAAACACACAGGGATCGAACCTCGCGCTCGCGACTTCGAAAGTACGAAGCACGACGTGTAACAATAAGTAATGGGAAACAATACAATAATTTTTCATACTGTTTTTACTTTTTAATACTATGATTATCTGTATAATCTTATTCTTATCGTATACTGTATATTTGACTGTGGCGCACGTATATCAAGCGATGTACTTTCCAAAAACATTTTAAGAGAACATATCTGTAAAAATGCCGTAAGAGTTGCGCCTGCGCAGGATTCACAATTTTTGATCAATTTTGTCTCTCTACGACAACAATACAATACAAAATATGTACAAAAATTATTACGTTAGAAACTCACTGTGTAAATCTATGATTTTACGCAACTAATAATCGAAGGGAATTCGATTAATCAGAATCTAGAAAATCTCGAAGAGAGATTTAGCCGAATATCAAAAATCGAAAACCCGAACAAATTTCCGCGTGAACTCGAGTAATTTGAAAAAGTTTCGATCTCAATTCACGTTGAGTCTTTGCTCCAAAGAGAGTTTTTACATGTTTACATATTAATGATAATTTATATACAAATATTTTATTAACAAAAATAACAACATCGTAAATTGTTTATTGTGAATCTTGCAAGCTCTATCTTGTACGGTAATCTATAATGTACACAGCGTACTGACGTTACATATTACGCTCTATAGTTTGTATTTATAGCAATTGCCGAGAGGATTCAACTCAATTATAATATTAGCATGAGATAAATAAGCTCGCGTGTGTGTGACAGTATGCGTAAGTATGTGTGCAACTGCGATAAAAGAGAAAGAATGAGTGACGACTACTCGCTTGTGTGTTTATCCTATGAGCGATTTTTCATAATCGTGAGAAAGAGAGCGAGAGCGAGAGAGAAAGAGAGAGAAAGAAAGGAAGAGAAAGAGAGAGTGTGTGAAATATTATTTCCTGATGATACAAAAAAAAAAAAAAAACACGGCGATATAAGCAAAGTTTGTGTGAATTTCATAAAAGTCTGACAAGCTCAGTCCCCTGAGAACTCAGGTGTGCGAACACGTTCTTCAATCGAGTTTTCATCTTGCATCGTGCTAAACACATGCTTTCAGTGTGCAAATCGTTTTGTAAGCTAGATCCCGATATCTCTGATAAGGAGCGCACGCACAGACGAAGGAAACTAAACGACTACGCCGCGATCTGCACGTTTCACAATCGAGTGTAGCATAAAATTACGAACTGTTCGTAAAATACACCTCTACAGAGAATAAATTATATATAATTTTTAACAGATTATATATAATTTTTAACAGATTATATATAATTTTTCTTTTATTATTTGAAAAGGAATCTTAATAAGCTTCTATTTCAGCTTTACGAATCTCTATATCTATAATGTTAAAAGACATGGCGATCTTAATTTTATTTTATAACGTGTGTCAATCAATTCGAAACAATACAAATATAATGATAAAAGTTAGTGAGAACGTATACACATATCGACAAATTTTACGAGAACTCGTTGCAACGTGCAGAATCGTAGCAGCAGGCGAGCGATATCGTACAAACTGAATTGTTACATGAAATCCACTCTCGGCGTTGTACGTAATATTACGTGACTTACGAGCGTTATTATCCACATGAGTCGCCGGAGTCGAGTAAGCGAAGCGATCACTAACAAGTGCCGGTAAAAGGAGCATGTGAATCAACACGGACTGATAAAACACACAACACGTAGCATCAATAACAAATATCGCGCGTTATATCCTTAACGTTACTTTACTTCGTCGTATCCTGTCCGCGCATATCACGTGTGTAACAATAACGAAGCAACTAAGTAAGAGTGTAACTACTGCCGAAGCGTATCATCTTAGCATCGTCTCATCTCAACTCACGCGTACCGTATCTAACGTTTCATACGACGATTATTAAAAATACACGTCCGCGAGATTATCACCAACCGATTTTCGTTATTCGCGCAATGACGAATGAGCGGTACTCGTCCACAGATAATTCGACCGTCCGACTTTCACAGCTGGACGGTTTGTTTTTTCAAACGATCTCGTCCAAGTCGCTCGAATGCTTATTCGCGATTTTCCATTTTTCGGATTCTCTCCAACGCTTCGAGTTTCGTTTTCCGAATGTCCGACCGCGACGCTTCCAACTTCGCTCCAGAAGAAGAAACCGATCCGTTTAACTTTAATCCAATCTCTCTCAAGTGTTTTTATTATATTAAAAAAAAAAAATTAAAAACAAAGTAACACTTTGCGACAAGGTCAATTGGAAGGAGAGAGATAAATTCCGATTTGTCGCGAGCGTCGTTAATGATTTTGCAAAATACGCGCTGGAGAACGTGTGGAATGCGAAAATTCGAATAGGTGTGTAAGAATAAGTAACATGTGCGTTAACGAGGTAACAGGCCGTTCGAGAACCGCGCAATCGCGATTGAGACGCGTCCCCTCATCCCGGCAGCAGGTGGACTCGATAGCGATAGTGAATTATTGTATAACGATTAGAGGTAGCGCGGACGGGACGACTTCGATCGATTGATTGTGCGTGATCGAACGGTCCGAAAATATGCTGTACGTATATAATGACCACGAGAGCAAACAAGACAGAAAACTTCGAGCCGCTTGGTATAATAATAAAATAATTGAGCGCTTAAACGAGCCGAAAGAGAGAGAAAGAGAGAAAGAGAGAAAGAGAGAGAGAGAGAGAGAGAGAGAGAGAGAGAGAGAGAGAGAGAGAGGAAAACTAATTATATCTCCGTAAATATCCTATAATATATTCAAAACCAAAAAAAAAAGATAACCAAAGCATTGTAACCTTCTAGAGGCAAAGAAGAAAAATAGAAAAAAGTACCTAATCTTGTATCGTTTAGTTCGACCACTGATTTGTCCGTGTGTGTTCGTTACTGAAATATGTTTCTTTAGTAAAAAAATTTTGAAAAATATTTCGTCCAATGTGTTTGCAAGTTCTTTCTGCTTTTTCCCTCTCTCCTGTCTCCCTCCTTTTCCTCCTGATACTAATTTACGTTACAGCGAATGTGGCAAAAAGATTTTGCAATTGCACCATATGAATATGTTAAATTAAGTAGTTAAACAATAAAAAAAATTAATACACTCATCGAGCTGTTTCCATCGATGCTCATCCTGTTGCTGCTTCAGAAGGAAGACACTTGCACCGAACTGTCTCTCACTGTAATGTTTGTTTTTTTTTTAAATTTTTTTTTATTGTTTATTTGTCACACTTCTGACGGATAATAAATCACGCACAACGCAAGTAACGCACGAGAATTTTACGGTCGCGACGTAACACGACGTTGCATGACGTCGCGTTTTACAAACGAACGTGATTGTCGCTGCTGGACACACTCGCGCGCGATTAAACACACAATCGGTCTATTTCACATTTGGCGTTTCCGACACTTCCGAACGAGTGCGAAATTACGCGATTGTAACAACAACGCGCATTTTACTCTCGCGACGCAACAAGTACAGCGACTGTAAGACCGACATTTTGTCGACGAACGCGGAATTATTTACGCAACACGATGCGATTAACACGTCAAACACTCGCTTGACTTCGTATTTGACAATTTCGAGATCGTTTTTGCGCGATACGACCAATGAAAAATGCAAAAATACTTGCGGAACGTTCCAACGACGCGGGGGTTGCAGAAAAATGGCGCGACAATCAACATGGCGGCGCGAAGATAACCGAAGGACGGCGCGAACAGCCGAACGTCGCGAAAGTTACGATCAAAGTGGCGATTCCGAATGAATCAAAACATTATTCTGTTTTTACACGTATATTCTATTTTTACACATATATTTATTAAGGAATAAATATAGAATGACACTTTGAAATAGTTGCAGCGCTACTTTGAACCCAGCGAGCTTGAATTTTTACCCGCGACAAAACAGCGACAACGACCGACATTTTATCAACAAACGCGGAGATATTTGTGCAATACGGTACGAGTAAAACACAGACCACTCACCCGACTACGTATTCGGCACTTCCGAGATCGTTGTTGCGCGATATAAAATCGACAAACAATGCAAAAATATTTACGGAACGTTTCTAACGACGCGGCGCTCTGCAGAATGGCAGTAAATATGGCGGGGCGAAGATAGCCGAAGAGCGGCGCGAGCAGCCGAATGTCACGAGCGACGCGACGAGTGCGAGAACTCCGATTCCGAGAATCGTGCCCGAGCAAGAGAGCGTTTTTCTAAGGCGAGAGGTGAAAAAGTGAAGTGTGGTTGTTTTGCACGGGAGAGTGTTTTTTTGCACGTAAAGAAGGTAAATATCGCGTTAAAAACTGAGACAAATAGATATTTTACTTGGCAAATCCGATGTTGCGCCGCGCGAATAAAAAAGTGAAGTGGTTGTTTTGCACGGAAGTTTTTTTTACACGTAAAGAAGTTATTATCGTGTAAAATAATAACAAATAGATATTTTACTCGGCAAATCCGATGTTGCGCCGCGCGAATAAACATCACTTACAGGAACGACAACAAACGAGAATTTACAATCGTAATTATGTAAGTAAATTGATATGTAATATTTCGTAATATTAGCTTGTTACATTAATACATAATATTATCATATATTCAAATAAACGAATACGGTTGCGCATCGTGATTAATTAATATGTTAAAATAGTTGCCGCAACACTTTCGAGAAATATGTATCTCTTTTCGCGTATAATTCAGTCATGCCAACACAGAAAACGAAGGTGACCTAACGGCTATTGCACACGAAATACGTCGATTGGTCAAAACTGACCAATGCAATTACAGATAATTTCGCGTTTCGTCGCTTTAATGTATACACAGCTTTACGCGTTGATCAATGACCGTTTCAATGTCGCAAAAAACAGTATTGCCGTCTGTAGTTTCTCGCAAAAATCTAACAAACACCGTTAGTTGATCGAACTAGAGACAAAAGGATAATGCAAAGGAGTGACACAAAAGATAATGCGAAGCTATTTAATTATTTTATGTATTTTATTAATAAAATAACCGTAGAGTTTTAGTAACTATGGAATTTTAGAACGCATGGACATAGAATAAAGAAAAGATGTTTTCATTTTGGCAATGTTTTTTTTTATCGATATTATTTCGCTCGAGAGCCTTTGGTAAACACACGTAGCGCGTCTAGTCAAGCTTGGCAACAACGTCGGAATCGTTCGAAGCGAAGCTCTGTCGAAATATCGATCAACAATTGCGCGATACATTTCGCGAACAGAAATAAAACCAATTGCACTGAGGATTATTACAAAGTAAACTAGGGTAACTGTCCCTATTAGTGTGCTGTTAAGCAAGCGTGCTCTCTTTTTTGAATAAATACTCAATTAACTGACTTCAAATGAGCTTGCTCAAAATTTATATCGATTCTTTAAACTCTTCTTTTGACAATAAGATTTGTATTAGCCCAA